ATATTGGTGTGCTCTGGGGATATTGGTGTGCTCTGGGGATATTGGTGTGCTCTAGGGATACTGGTGTGCTCTAGAGATACTGGTGTGCTCTAGGGATATTGGTGTGCTCTGGGGATATTGGTGTGCTCTGGGGATATTGGTGTGCTCTAGGGATACTGGTGTGCTCTAGGGATACTGGTGTGCTCTGGGGATACTGGTGTGCTCTGGGGATACTGGTGTGCTCAGGGGATATTAGTGTGCTCAGGGGATATTGGTGTGCTCTAGATATACTGGTGTGCTCTACGGATACTGGTGTGCTCTGGGGATATTAGTGTGGCTCGGTTTTTTCTTCTTTTCATAACATTTTTTTTTAACGGTTACTCTGCTTTTTTCTTCTGTCTTTATTTGTTGTTTAACGGATTATGGTGGTTTGGTCGTTTTCTTCTCTGTGCTTACTACTGTGTCTTTAGTGAGGAGTATTTGTTGTTGTTGTTGTTGTTGATGTTGATGTTGCGGATAGCTAAGGGTCTTGGTGCCTCTTCAAGATGGCGGATTTAATCGACCAGTGGTGGTTCAGGATGATGTCACTGGTGTTCAGATCCTAGACCACGACAGTGGCAGGTCAATGTGATAGATCAGTGTATTTTTAGTAGTTATACTGCAACTGTTTTATGCTTACCTAGGTTATCTGAGATATATTAAAGTAAATTAACAAGTTCAAATGGTTGAGGTATTGAATATAAAGTCTGCATAGATATTTATTAATTTATTCTCATTCATTAAGCTTCAGAGAAAAGACGCCTTTTTTTTTAGCCAATCTTCCTTGATGTTCAGATCTTTTAGAATGTCAGTATTCTAATAATATTTCAGCTCAAAAGCAAAATCAAGGTTTTCTCTGATGGCCCTAATACTGCATCCAGTTAGGACAAAGGATGGTGAACATTTGAAAATACATGTATCTATGTGTGTGCCAAGATACTCTTATTAATAACAGCTGTTTATGTGGAAGACCTCAACATGTGTGTGGGATGTTTCTATTAAACATGCACACATATATCTGTATGACAGACCTCAACATGTGTGCGGGATGTTTCTATTAAACATGCACACATGTATCTGTATGACAGACTTCAACACGTGTGCGGGATGTTTCTATTAAACATGCACACATATATCTGTATGACAGACCTCAACACGTGTGCGGGATGTTTCTATTAAACATGCACACATATATCTGTATGACAGACCTCAACATGTGTGCGGGATGTTTCTATTAAACATGCACACATATATCTGTATGACAGACCTCAGCACGTGTGCGGCCCACATATATCTGTATGACAGACCTCAACACGTGTGTGGCCCACATATATCCGTATGACAGACCTCAACACGTGTGCGGCCCACATATATCTGTATGACAGACCTCAACATGTGTGCGGCCCACATATATCTGTATGACAGACCTCAACATGTGTGCGGGATGTTTCTATTAAACATGCACACATATATCTGTATGACAGACCTCAATACGTGTGCGGCCCACATATATCTGTATGACAGACCTCAACACGAGTGCGGCCCACATATATCTGTATGACAGACCTCAACACGTGTGTGGCCCACATATATCCGTATGACAGACCTCAACAAGCGTGTGGCACACATATATCTGTATTACAGACCTTAAGAAAATATGTGTGGCTTCTGTTTAGGATGACTATGTAAATAATTGACCAAAAATGTGTCTTGTACAACAGGGAAAATATCACTAGACAAACTCAAGTCAACTCTGACAAATATTCTCAATGTTTATTGCACTTGAACAGCAACAAGCCATACCAACAAACAATAAAAATATCAACAACAATTGTATCAACAAACAACAAATGACACCAACAAACACTTGACAGCAACATCTACAACAAGAAACCCGGTCACAACAGCAACTACCTGCTAGAATGTTTCTGGTTGGCCCAGGTTATCAGCGGACAGCCCACAGATCGTCTAGTTACATGTGTCCTGTCTCTGCCCAGTTCACATCAATCAAATACATATCATTTTCATAAGTATAGTTCTATTGGCAACTTTGAACCTTTTTTAACTACAGTGAAAAGTCGAAAAACCCAATGGTATGGACAGGTAGTCAGATCTAACGGCCTCTCAAAAAATAATACTGCAGGGCTCAATAGAGGGAAAAAAGAGAAGAGGCCGACTAAGAAATACCTGGTTTCAGAACCTGACTGACTGGACAGGTCTCATGCACGCAACCACGAAGTCCATCACAACTGACTGCCAAAGGTGGAGAGAGCTGATCAGACAGTCAACAGAAACTGGTGACCTGACGACACGTAGTGTTACAGAATGACGATGATGATCAAGTATAGTCCCAGTTTGGCAAAGCTCTGAGACACACAGTTGCTGCTGGTCTAACACAGCAGACCAACAACAAGCATGTCTGACACAAGTCCACTGATTCGGCACATTTATTTCCATGTAGGAGTGCATCTGCCTTTGAGGTCTGGAACCAGCAGTCTGCACACAAATAAGCCATTTCCGTAAAGCAGGTATGCACGCAAGTTCTAGAACAATATCAAAGCTCAAAGGTGCATGAACAAGCAGAACCTTCTCTTGTAATCTACAGCCAGTGAGAGCGAAAAAGAAGAGTCACAATCTCTTCAACTTCTCTCCTTTTAGCTGTTACCATACATTGAGATCACACAATCATGACATGATATCCAACACTGAACTGAGCTCACACAATCATAACACACTATACACGGAGCTCACACAATCATAACACACTATCCACGGAGCTCACACAATCATAACACACTATCCACGGAGCTCACATAATCATAACACACTATCCACGGAGCTCACACAATCATAACACACTATCCACTGAGCTCACACAATCATAACACACTATACACGGAGCTCACATAATCATGGCAAGATTTACACAATCATGACATGATATCCAACACTGAATTGAGCTCACATAATCATGACACATACACCGAGACCACACAATCATGACATGATAATCATACATGGGGCTAACACAATCATTACATAATCCTAATCTAAGCTCACTCAAAAGTACATGATATGAAATGCTGAGCTCACATAATCAGCATAATATCCAACACTTAGCACATACAATCATGATGTAATATTCATTAATCAAATCTGTGCTTGTACAATCATGACATGAAATCCAACACTGTGCTCACTTAAACATGATATGACATCTAGCATTGTACTACACAATCATGAAATGACATCTAACATTAACCTCAAATAATCAGGATATGTCATCAAATACTGTGCTCACACAATCAAGATATGACACCCAATACTGTGCTCACACAATCAAGATATGTCATCCAATACTGTGCTCACACAATCAAGATATGACACCCAATACTGTGCTCACACAATCAAGATATGTCATCCAATACTGTGCTCACACAATTGAGATATGACATCCAATACTGTGCTCACACAATCGAGATATGACATCCAATACTGTGCTCACACAATCAAGATGTGACATCAAATACTGTGCTCACACAATCAAGATGTGACACCCAATACTGTGCTCACACAATCAAGATGTGTCATCCAATACTGTGCTAACATAATCAAGATATGTCATCCAATATGGTGCTCACACAATCAAAATATGACATCCAATACTGTGCTCACACAATAAAGATATGACACCCAATACTGTGCTCAGACAATCAAGATATGACACCCAATACTGTGCTCACACAATCAAGATATGACACCCAATACTGTGCTCACACAATCAAGATATTGACAGTGGCAGCCAAACTGGCAATGGAAACAATCAGTTATTTGTCACAGATGGTCTATGTGACAGTAGCAGCCAAACTGGCAATGGAAACAATCAGTTATTTGTCACAGTTTGAGGTGAGCTAGAATATTGGCAGTAGTAGTCAAGCATCTGATGGGTGAATATTTCTGTTGTCTGCTTTCACCTGTCAGTGGACAATAGGAGTATCAGAGATGGGACCTGTCTCTTTCTGTTGTCTGCTTTCACCTGTCAGTGGACAATGGGAGTATCAGAGATGGAGCCTGTCTCTTTCTGTTGTCTGCTTTCACCTGTCAGTGGACAAAGGGGTATCAGAGATGGGGCCTGTCTCTTTCTGTTGTCTGCTTTCACCTGTCAGTGGAAAATGGGATATCAGAGATGGGGCCTGTCTCTTTCTGTATTCTGCTTTCACCTGTCAGTGGACAATGGGAGTATCAGAGATGGAGCCTGTCTCTTTCTGTTGTCTGCTTTCACCTGTCAGTGGAAAATGGGAGTATCAGAGATGGGGCCTGTCTCTAACAGCAAGTGCGGTCACACACTGGAGGCTCCCTGTGTGGACGTGAGGCTAAGCTGCCATGTGTGTGGTGTGAGGATTTCTTGGAAGAGCCCAATAACAAAGCATCGTCTCTACAGTTTTGAAAGCCATGTTGGGAGTGCCCATGTGCTGTTACTGTTTTCCCTTGAGACACAGATGAATGTTGTGCAAGCCTGGCTGGGACGCAGCAGCCTAGATGAAGTAGCAAGGATTTCGTCACTCTGGGATAGTGGACTGTCCCATGACACCACCTGTGAAGAATCTCACAGCCAGCAGTTCCACAGAAGGGGATCTGATAAACTAGAAAAGGACACAGTGAGGTCGAGTGCAGGGGGCACATGAGTACCAACTAGCTAGCACAAATCACGAGGACAGAAGTTTCATTCACAAACAGAAACCAACAATTAAGAATCAGGGATCAGCACAGACAACAAAAAAGGTCCATAAAGAACAATAACCCAGACAACAAAAGAGGTCCATAAAGAACAATAACCCAGACAACAAAAAAGGTCCATAAAGAACAATAACCCAGACAATAAAAGAGGTCCATAAGAAACAATAACCCAGACAATAAAAGAGGTCGAGTGCAGGGGGCACATCAGTACCAACTAACTTGCACAAATCACGGGGACAGAAGTTTCATTCACAAACAGAAACCAACATTAAAGAATCAGGGATCAACCCAGACAACAAAAGACGTCCATAAAGAACAATAACCCAGACAACAAAAGAGGTCCATGAAGAACAATAACCCAGACAACAAAAGACGTCCATAAAGAACAATAACCCAGACAATAAAAGAGGTCCATAAAGAACAATAACCCAGACAACAAAAGACGTCCATAAGGAACAATAACCCAGACAACAAAAGAGGTCCATAAAGAACAATAACCCAGACAATAAAAGAGGTCCATAAAGAACAATAACCCAGACAACAAAAGACGTCCATAAGGAACAATAACCCAGACAACAAAAGAGGTCCATAAAGAACAATAACCCAGACAATAAAAGAGGTCCATAAAGAACAATAACCCAGACAACAAAAGAGGTCCATAAAGAACAATAACCCAGACAACAAAAGACGTCCATAAGGAACAATAACCCAGACAACAAAAGAGGTCCATAAAGAACAATAACCCAGACAACAAAAGAGGTCCATAAAGAACAATAACCCAGACAATAAAAGAGGTCCATAAAGAACAATAACCCAGACAACAAAAGAGGTCCATAAATAACAATAACCCAGACAACAAAAGAGGTCCATAAATAACAATAACCCAGACAACAAAAGACGTCCATAAAGAACAATAACCCAGACAACAAAAGAGGTCCATAAAGAACAATAACCCAGACAATAAAAGAGGTCCATAAAGAACAATAACCCAGACAATAAAAGAGGTCCATAAAGAACAATAACCCAGACAACAAAAGACGTCCATAAGGAACAATAACCCAGACAACAAAAGACGTCCATAAGGAACAATAACCCAGACAATAAAAGAGGTCCATAAAGAACAATAACCCAGACAATAAAAGAGGTCCATAAAGAACAATAACCCAGACAACAAAAGAGGTCCATAAAGAACAATAACCCAGACAACAAAAGAGGTCCATAAAGAACAATAACCCAGACAATAAAAGAGGTTTATGAAGAAGCATGTTCCTATCCTGGCTTCCTATTACTAGTAGAGCAGGGATTCTCAACCTATGGGTTGCAACCCTTTTGGGGGTCAAATGACCCTTTCACAGGGGTCGCCTAAGACCATAGGGAAACATATATTCACTGAAGTAATGAAGTAGCAATGAAAAAAATAAAATGGGTTGCGACAACATGAGGAACTGCATTAATGGGTTGCGGTGTTAGGAAGGTTGAGAATCACTGCTGGAGAACCTAAAGGTAAGGTGACTTCTTGTTGCTGACCCCCCATGGTTCTCTAATTGGTACATGTGTAAGAAAATAATCACATATGATTGACAGATGGAATGTTGGGTGTACAGCCAAAGCATGCAGGCAGTGAAGCAGATTATATATTTACTTGGTAGGAACACCAGGGAAGTTGATGATGAGAATGTCAGTGCACAAATACAATGAGGGTGCTGCAGGCTCACACAGGCAAATATTCCATGACTTGCCTGTAGAATAACGGCCACATGATTCCACCAAACTGATCACAAGTCAGGAAACAACTGGTCTAGCCTGAGACAGGAAGTAGGCAGATGCAGCATGAGATAAGGTGACCTAGTTACATGTATCAGCAGCACTAGAGTTTGATAGTCGGAGGACGAGGCCAAACATTGGTAGATCCTTGTGAGTCTTGGACTGTCTCATTTGTGACTAGCAAATTTCTCCACGGGTGTTTTGTCCATGGATGACTGCCGAGTCTCTGGTAATTTCAGTTCGAAGCCTGAACCTGCAGAATACAAACATTTCAAATACTGAAAAACACATACAACATCGCACAGAATTGAAACACACACATACAACACCATACAAAACTGAAACATTTACACAACACTATACATACAACACAATATAAACACGGAAACACATAAAAAACAATGTACAGAACAGCAACACACATATAGTACTATACACACTGAAAACACACATACATAGTATTATACACACTGAAAACACACATACATAGTATTATACACACTGAAAACACACATACAAATCTATTTGCTGTTGAATTAAGAATCAACATCACAGCAATCAGGAAACTCATAATCAGCGGCAAGCGTAAAGTTCCAATTTTAATGGCACCAGAAACTCTATATCCATCTCACCTTTCCCCTGAGTGCTGAGCATCTGCCAGATCACCTGGTGATGCCCTGCAGCGTCATTCTCCTCATACCGTGATGATCTATCGGTACCTCCTCACTCGCCCCTAAAGGGCCCTCAAAACATCTAGCTTTTCATACATCAAATCACTACCAAGTAGTGCAAAACCAGCCAGTCTATCTGCCTACTCATTTCCCAACACACCGGCATCACCATGGAGAAATTATCCAAAGGATGCTAACTACTAAGGGCCTCTGAAGCGATTCTTGCCACTCTGCACGAAGCAAGCCTGTCTAGGCCATTCTGAACATTCTCTGTGAGTCAGTTACAATCACAGCATGTGTGTACAGCCGATTCTTAAGCCAGTATACAACTCTATAACAACACTGAAACACATATACAACTCTTTACAGAACTGAAACACACATACAACTCTATACAAACACTGTCACACATATAAAACTCTTTACAGAACTGAAACACACATACAACTCTATACAAACACTGTCACACATAAAAAACTCTTTACAGAACTGAAACACACATACAACTCTATACAAACACTGTCACACATAAAAAACTCTTTACAGAACTGAAACACACATACAACTCTATACAAACACTGTCACACATAAAAAACTCTTTACAGAACTGAAACACACATACAACTCTATACAAACACTGTCACACATAAAAAACTCTTTACAGAACTGAAACACACATACAACTATAAATAAACAGAAAAACACATACAATTCTACACAAACACTAAAACACATAAAATGAAGTTCTGCTTGTATTCATGTACTGGCTATGATGACAGCTTATCGACACACTGATGCAGATGGGACAACATATATCAATCACCCACAGATGGGACAACATATATCAATCACCCACAGATGGGACAACATATATCAATCACCCACAGATGGGACAACAACATGAATCAAACACCCACCTCTCTGACTGGACATGTATATAGACAGGACAACAACATATACCCAAATCCTAGCACCCACCTCGCTGGTTGAGACCTCTAAGGTCTGAGGCCTCATGTTTGAGTCGAAGGCGAAGAATAAACTGCATCAGGTCGTGCCTGAAACAAGATATTCACACAAGATTCAATACGGCAAGAGCAGACAACTGGCCAGGCATCTCAATAGTCTTGACTTTGGATCCTCACTAAAACAAGATTTGCTATAACCGACCCTGGCTCGGCTCCCAGGTGGAAATGGATTTAATCAAGTGCTAGGTCATATCCTGGGAAGTAAAGATAGCTGATATGATATTGACAACACACACATCAAGTAATGACTGACCAAAAGCATACTGGTCTAGCACCATATGCTCCAATGTGCCACCAGTGTGAACAGGGTCCTTCAATATTTCAGTTGACTTGAGTGACAGCAGCCGTATTCTGATTCTGTCAGCTGTCCCACTGGTACAGTTGACTTGAGTGACAGCAGCAATATTCATCCCACTGGTACAGCTGACTTGAGTGACAGCAGCCATATTCGTCCCACTGGTACAGCTGACTTGAGTGACAGCAGCCATAGTCATCCCACTGGTTCAGCTGACTTGAGTGACAGCAGCCATATTCATCCCACTGGTACAGCTGACTTGAGTGACAGCTGCCATATTCGTCCCACTGGTACAGCTGACTTGAGTGACAGCAGCTGTATTTGTCCCACTGGTACAGCTGACTTGAGTGACAGCCGCCATATTCGTCCCACTGGTACAGCTGACTTGAGTGACAGCCGCCATATTCGTCCCACTGGTACAGCTGACTTGAGTGACAGCAGCCATATTTGTCCCACTGGTACAGTTGACTTGAGTGACAGCAGCCGTATTTGTCCCACTGGTTCAGCTGACTTGAGTGACAGCAGCTGTATTTGTCCCACTGGTACAGCTGACTTGAGTGACAGCAGCTGTATTCTGATTCTGTCAGGTGTCCCACCGGACATGTCCAACCACACGAGCCTGCTGCTATGCCTCTGTTGAAATCTAGCCACAAACAAAAAACCAACAAAGGACCACATCCAACTCAGTTTTTGCTCAAATGTCCACACAGGAAATAGTTTCTCCCAACACATCTGCCACGATCCATCAGTATGCCTCTTTTGGCTCAAACATCATGACTGTTTAAGACAGAGAGGTCACTAGAGGGCTGTGCACTAACATCCTGACTGTCTTACATCCTGTGCCCTAACATCCTGTCTTAAATCTTACAAATGCATCTGATACACAATAACTACAAAATCCTACAAGAACATCTGATACACAATAACTACAAAATCCTACAAGAACATCTGATAAACAATAACTACAAAATCCTACAACAGTATTTGATACACAATAACTACAAAATCTTACAAGAACATCTGATACCCAATAACTACAAAATCCTACAAGAACATCTGATACACAATAACCACAAAATCCTACAAGAACATCTGATACGCAATAACTACAAAATCATACAAGAACATCTGATACCACTAGGTGTATCAGAAACAAGAGTAAACAGTGGGATCCAGCCAGCTATAAAACAACAGCAACAAACAGAGAGCCAGTACTCACCTGTGTGAGGCCTCCAGCCAGCTATAAAACAACAGCAACAAACAGAGAGCCAGTACTCACCTGTGTGAGGCCTCCAGCCAGCTATAAAACAACTGCAACAAACAGAGAGCCAGTACTGACCTGTGTGAGGCCTCCAGTCAGCTATAAAACAACAGCAACAAACAGAGAGCCAGTACTGACCTGTGTGAGGCATCCAGCTATAAAACAACAGCAACAAACAGAGAGCCAGTACTGACCTGTGTGAGGCATCCAGCTATAAAACAACAGCAACAAACAGAGAGCCAGTACTGACCTGTGTGAGGCATCCAGCTATAAAACAACAGCAACAAACAGAGAGCCAGTACTGACCCATGTGAGGCATCCAGTCAGCTATAAAACAACAGCAACAAACAGAGAGCCAGTACTGACCTGTGTGAGGCCTCCAGTCAGCTATAAAACAATAGCAACAAACAGAGAGCCAGTACTAACCTGTGTGAGGCATCCAGCTATAAAACAACAGCAACAAACAGAGAGCCAGTACTGACCTGTGTGAGGTGTCCAGCCAGCTATAAAACAACAGCAACAAACAGAGAGCCAGTACTGACCTGTGTGAGGCATCCAGCTATAAAACAACAGCAACAAACAGAGAGCCAGTACTGACCTGTGTGAGGCATTCAGCTATAAAACAACAGCAACAAACAGAGAGCCAGTACTGACCTGTGTGAGGTGTCCAGCCAGCTATAAAACAACAGCAACAAACAGAGAGCCAGTACTGACCTGTGTGAGGCATCCAGCTATAAAACAACAGCAACAAACAGAGAGACAGTACTGACCTGTGTGAGGTGTCCAGCTATAAAACAACAGCAACAAACAGAGAGCCAGTACTGCCCTGTGTGAGGTGTTCAGCCAGCTATAAAACAACAGCAACAAACAGAGAGCCAGTACTGATCTATGTGAGGTGTCCAGCCAGCTATAAAACAACAGCAACAAACTGAGAGCCAGTACTGACCTGTGTGAGGTGTCCAGTCAGCTATAAAACAACAGCAACAAACAGAGAGCCAGTACTCACCTGTGTGAGGCCTCCAGCCAGCTATAAAACAACAGCAACAAACAGAGAGCCAGTACTCACCTGTGTGAGGCCTCCAGCCAGCTATAAAACAACTGCAACAAACAGAGAGCCAGTACTGACCTGTGTGAGGCCTCCAGTCAGCTATAAAACAACAGCAACAAACAGAGAGCCAGTACTGACCTGTGTGAGGCATCCAGCTATAAAACAACAGCAACAAACAGAGAGCCAGTACTGACCTGTGTGAGGCATTCAGCTATAAAACAACAGCAACAAACAGAGAGCCAGTACTGACCTGTGTGAGGCATCCAGCTATAAAACAACAGCAACAAACAGAGAGCCAGTACTGACCCATGTGAGGCATCCAGTCAACTATAAAACAACAGCAACAAACAGAGAGCCAGTACTGACCTGTGTGAGGCGTCCAGTCAGCTATAAAACAACAGCAACAAACAGAGAGCCAGTACTGACCTGTGTGAGGCATCCAGCTATAAAACAACAGCAACAAACAGAGAGCCAGTACTGACCTGTGTGAGGTGTCCAGCCAGCTATAAAATAACAGCAACAAACAGAGAGCCAGTACTGACCTGTGTGAGGTGTCCAGCCAGCTATAAAACAACAGCAACAAACAGAGAGCCAGTACTGATCTGTGTGAGGCATCCAGCTATAAAACAACAGCAACAAACAGAGAGCCAGTACTGACCTGTGTGAGGTGTCCAGCCAGCTATAAGACAACAGCAACAAACAGAGAGCCAGTACTGACCTGTGTGAGGTGTCCAGCCAGCTATAAAACAACAGCAACAAACAGAGAGCCAGTACTGACCTGTGTGAGGCATCCAGCTATAAAACAACAGCAACAAACAGATAGCCAGTACTGACCTGTGTGAAGCGTCCAGTCAGCTATAAAACAACAGCAACAAACAGAGATCCAGTACTGACCTGAGTGAGGCCTCCAGCCAGCTATAAAACAACAGCAACAAACAGAGAGCCAGTACTGACCTGTGTGAGGCGTCCAGTATGCCAATCTTCTCCAGCTTGATGTCATTGACTCGTATCAGGGTCCTGCCTGTGGAAAACATCAGCCAGATACAGTATCATGACAGGCAACAACAACTACAAGCTGGTAATACCTTATATATAATTGTTTGTTCACAGAGAAATGGGAATGAGTCTTTGTCAGTCTTGGTAATCTTAGTTTCAGCTTCATAGCAAAGGAGTCACCCCATAGTTGCCCCACTCCTGTGCCAATGAAAACACACACAGAATGTTCATCACAGTCCCTTGTGGAAAGACTGACAGACTGCTGTCTCAGTGTATGCACTAGCATATTACTAAAATGATCATCAGTCATTTTGCACTTGTGGAGCTTTCAAGGAGAAGATCAGAGCAACTATGGATCTGTCTGGAGTGCTGTGATGATAATCCTTTCTAATCACTAGCATACACATGCATTAAAAGCATACAGTAGCCATCAGAAGTGCTAACACAAACAGTCTGACATTAGAAATGCAGTTCATCATCGACGGTAGCAGAAGTTCCCAACAGATCAGCAGTAGCAATCAATTTTACTTACATAAGGGCAACACCAATATTGCAATGACAGGCCACCTTCTTCAATCTGTTATCCCGATGCACCAATGTTTCCTCAGTCAACCACTGTTTCATACTCATATTTGTATGGCACTCTCAAAATGTCTTTCAGAATGTGACTGACTATGATTCCCACCCACATCTTGGTAATGTGGTTCCTGAAACTGATGCTGTAACTCCAGCCTTGAATGATCAGTGTCCTGCTGTCACCTAGGCATACTTCTACACAACAGAACAGAGCCTGATGCTGTAACTCCAGCCTTGAGTGATCAGTGTCCTGCTGTCACCTAGGCATACTTCTACACAACAGAACAGAGCCTGATGCTGTAACTCCAGCCTTGAGTGATCAGTGTCCTGCTGTCACCTAGGCATACTTCTACACAACAGAACAGAGCCTGATGCTGTAACTCCAGCCTTGAGTGATCTGTGTCCTGCTGTCACCTAGGCATACTTCTACACAACAGAACAGAGCCTGATGCTGTAACTATAGCCTTGAGTGATCAGTGTCCTGCTGTCACCTAGGCATACTTCTACACAACAGAACAGAGCCTGATGCTGTAACTCCAGCCTTGAGTGATCTGTGTCCTGCTGTCACCTAGGCATACTTCTACACAACAGAACAGAGCCTGATGCTGTAACTCCAGCCTTGAGTGATCTGTGTCCTGCTGCCACCTAGGCACACTTCTACACAACAGAACAGAGCCTGATGCTGTAACTACAGCCTTGAGTGATCTGTGTCCTGCTGCCACCTGGGCACACACTTCTACACAACAGAACAGAGCCTGATGCTGTAACTCCAGCCTTGAGTGATCTGTGTCCTGCTGCCACCTAGGCACACTTCTACACGACAGAACAGGAGCCAGCAGTGTGTGCTGTACAGACAGTAACTGTGGCCACTTGACCCACAGGACAGTGAGAATACAGGACAAGAAAACTATGCACACAACACATGGCCAGTAATAGAACTTGATAGACAGGAATGAGAATACAAGACAAAATAAACAAGTGAGAAAAACAACCAGCCAAAGACTACCTGTAACATCATGTTTGCTGAGCAAGTCCCCGTACAGCTCGTAGTATAGGCCACCATGTTTACGCAACCACTTGTTGACGTCTGCACTGTTCCAAAAGTACAGCGGCTTGGGCTTGCCTTTCATGCCCCTCTTGACAGTGAGGCCATCAGTTTTAGGCCGGGCCTCTAACGTGGCCCCAGACATCTGCAGTAGTGGCACATCCCATGTTAACATCTCAAATATCCATTCTCAACTCTATTACCTGGCACATACCATGTTAACATCTCAAACATCCATTCTCAACTCTATTACCTGACACATACCATGTAAACATCTCAAACATCCATACTCAACTCTATTACCTGACACATACCATGTAAACATATTAAACACCTATTCTCAACTCTATTACCTGGCACATACCATGTTAACATCTGGAACATCCATACTCAACTCTATTACCTGACACATACCATGTAAACATCTCAAACATCCATACTCAACTCTATTACCTGGCACATACCATGTTAACATCTCAAACATCCATACTCAACTCTATTACCTGGCACATACCATGTTAACATGTCAAACATCCATACTCAACTCTATTACCTGACACATACCATGTTAACATGTCAAACATCCATACTCAACTCTATTACCTGACACATACCATGTTAACATCTCAAACATCCATTCTCAACTCTATTACCTGACACATACCATGTTAACATCTCAAACATTCATTCTCAACTCTATTACCTGACACATACCATGTTAACATCTCAAACATCCATACTCAATTACCTGACACATACCATGTTAACAGCTGGAACATCCATGCTCAACTCTCCTATTATTACCCATATACAACCCATAAATATGCTCCAACATAAACAATGTTCACACCTGACACACCCATGCACAAATCTCCTATCTGACACATACAGAACCAACAAACACGGCTATAGTATGGAGGAATAATGCACACAGGTTGGTTATCATACTACAGATGACATGAGTCATTATTGGCCCATCTATGGTAATGGCTCTAGTCTTCAAGACACCTGGGGGTCAAAGTTAACTACCGTGCCCATTCTGGCATCAAAGCCACCCAGTGTGAAACCAATGAGCATGTGTAGCTGTGAAACAATGCCCACTTGGGACTGGGGGTGTGGCAAATAATGTGACAACCATACAAAGGCTGAATTTGGAGAACTGGCAACTGGGGTTTTTGTGTACAACTGGCAACACATGAACATGTGAGAGAGGTGTAGACAACTGGGGTTTTTGTGTACAACTGGCAACACGTGAACATGTGAGAGAGGTGTAGACAACTGGGGTTTTTGTGTACAACAGGCAACATGTGAACATGTGAGAGAGGTGTAGACAACTGGGGTTTTTGTGTACAACTAGCAGCACGTGAACATGTGAGAGAGGTGTAGACAACTGGGGTTTTTGTGTACAACTGGCAACACGTGAACATGTGAGAGAGGTGTAGACAACTGGGGTTTTTGTGTACAACTGGCAGCACATGAACATGTGAGAGAGGTGTTGACTATTGAGGGGGGGGGGGGGGGGGGTTGTGTACAACTGGCAACACGTGAACATGTGAGAGAGGTGTTGACAACTGGGGTTTTTGTGTACAACTGGCAACACGTGAACATGTGAGAGAGGTGTAGACAACTGGGGTTTTTGTGCACAACTGGCAACATGTGAGAGAGGTGTTGACTATTGAGGGGGGGGGGGGGATGTGTACAACTGGCAACACGTGAACATGTGAGAGAGGTGTTGACAACTGGGGGTTTTTTGTGTACAACTGGCAACACATGAACATGTGAGAGAGGTGTTGACAATTGAGTGGGGGGGGGGGGGGGTTGTGTACAACTGGCAACACGTGGGAGAGGTGTTGACAACTGGGTTTTTTTGTGTACAACTGGCAACACGTGAACATGTGAGAGAGGTGTAGACAACTGGGGGGTTTTTGTGTACAACTGGCAAGACGTGAACATGTGAGAGAGGTGTTGACAACTGGGGAGTTTTTGTGTACAACTGGCAATACATGAACATGTGAGAGAGGTGTTGACAACTGAGGGGGGTGGGAGGGGGGTTTGTGTACAACTGGCAACATGTGAGAGAGGTGTTGACAACTGGGGGTTTTTGTGTACAACTGGCAACACGTGAACATGTGAGAGAGGTGTTGACAACTGGGGGGTTTTTGTGTACAACTGGCACAATAAAACAGCCGTCTTTTCTGAGCTATTGACAGCACAGTTTTCTGCATGCCATTTAGTCACTTTGTCGACAGCTGACTGTAGCTCTTGGGCTGTCTGTTGCCTATCACTCCCCTACCTATATGCAAGAAAATATGAGAGAAATATGTTTACAACTGGCAATAGATCAGTGGCTCTCAACCTTCTTAATGCCGTGACCCTTTAATACAGTCCCACATGTTGTGGCAACCCTTTAATACAGTCCCACATGTTGTGGCAACCCTTTAATACAGTCCCTCATGTTGTGGCGACCCTTTAATACAGTCCCTCATGTTGTGGCGACCCTTTAATACAGTCCCTCATGTTGTGGTGACCCTTTAATACAGTTCATCCTGTTGTGGCGACCCTTTAATACAGTTCCTCCTGTTGTGGCAACCCTTTAATACAGTTCCTCCTGTTGTGGGGACCCTTTAATACAGTTCCTCCTGTTGTGGAGAACCTTTAATACAGTTAATCCTGTTATGGTGACCCTTTAATAAATTTCCTCATTTTGTGGTGACCCTTTAAAACAGCTCCTCCTGTTGTGGGGACCCTTTAATACAGTTCCTCCTGTTGTGGAGAACCTTTAATACAGTTCCTCCTGTTGTGGGGACCCTTTAATACAGCTCCTCCTGTTGTGGCGACCCTTTAATACAGTTCCTCATGTTGTGGCGACCCTTTAATACAGTCCCTCATGTTGTGGCGACCCTTTAATACAGTTCATCCTGTTGTGGCGACCCTTTAATACAGTTCCTCCTGTTGTGGCAACCGTTTAATACAGTTCCTCCTGTTGTGGAGAACCTTTAATACAGTTCCTCCTGTTATGGTGACCCTTTAATAAATTTCCTCATGTTGTGGCGACCCTTTAAAATAGTCCCTCATGATGTGGTGACCCTTTAAAACAGCTCCTCCTGTTGTGGGGACCCTTTAATACAGCTCCTCCTGTTGTGGAGAACCTTTAATACATTTCCTCCTGTTGTGGGGACCCTTTAATACAGCTCCTCCTGTTGTGGCGACCCTTTAATACAGTTCCTCCTGTTGTGGCGACCCTTTAATACAGTTCCTCCTGTTGTGGCGACGCTTTAATACAGTTCCTCCTGTTGTGGAGACCTTTTAATACAGTTCCTCCTGTTGTGGTGACCCTTTAATACAGTTCCTCTTGTTGTGGCAACCGTTTAAAACAGTTCCTCCTGTTGTGGAGAACCTTTAATACAGTTCCTCCTGTTGTGGAGAACCTTTAATACAGTTCCTCCTGTTGTGGGGACCCTTTAATACAGTTCCTCCTGTTGTGGAGAACCTTTAATACAGTTCCTCCTGTTATGGTGACCCTTTAATAAATTTCCTCATGTTGTGGCGACCCTTTAAAATAGTCCCTCATGATGTGGTGACCCTTTAAAACAGCTCCTCCTGTTGTGGGGACCCTTTAATACAGCTCCTCCTGTTGTGGAGAACCTTTAATACAGTTCCTCCTGTTGTGGGGACCCTTTAATACAGCTCCTCCTGTTGTGGCGACCCTTTAATACAGTTCCTCCTGTTGTGGCGACCCTTTAATACAGTTCCTCCTGTTGTAGCGACGCTTTAATACAGTTCCTCCTGTTGTGGAGACCTTTTAATACAGTTCCTCCTGTTGTGGTGACCCTTTAATACAGTTCCTCATGTTGTGGCGACCCTTTAATACAGTTCCTTCTGTTGTGGCGACCCTTTAATACATTTCCTCCTGTTGTGGCGACCCTTTAATACAGTTCCTAATGTTGTGGCGACCCTTTAATACAGTTCCTCCTGTTGTGGCGACCCTTTAATACAGTTCCTCCTGTTGTGGCGACCCTTTAATACAGTTCCTAATGTTGTGGTGACACTTTAATACAGTTCCTCCTGTTGTGGTGACTCTTTAGTACAGTTCCTCCTGTTGTGGAGTCCCTTTAATACAGTTCCTCCTGTTGTGGCGACCCTTTAATACAGTTTCTCCTGTTGTGGCGACCCTTTAATACAGTTCTTCATGTTGTGGCGACCCTTTAATACAGTTCCTCCTGGTGTGGGGACCCTTTAATACAGTTCCTCCTGTTGTGGCGACCCTTTGATACAGTTCCTAATGTTGTGGCGACCCTTTAATACAGTTCCTCATGTTGTGGTGACCCTTTAATACAGTTCCTCCTGTTGTGGCAACCCTTTAATACAGTTCCTCCTGTTGTGGCGACCCTTTAATACAGTTCCTAATGTTGTGGTGACACTTTAATACAGTTCCTCATGTTGTGGCGACCCTTTAATACAGTTCCTCCTGTTGTGGCGACCCTTTAATACAGTTCCTAATGTTGTGGCAACCCTTTAATACAGTTCCTCCTGTTGTGGCAACCCTTTAATACAGTTCCTCCTGTTGTAGCAACCCTTTAATACATTTCCTCCTGTTGTGGCGACCCTTTAATACAGTTCCTAATGTTGTGGCGACCCTTTAATACAGTTCCTCATGTTGTGGTGACCCTTTAATACAGTTCCTCCTGTTGTGGCGACCCTTTAATACAGTTCCTCCTGTTGTGGCGACCCTTTAATACAGTTCCTCATGTTGTGGGGACCCTTTAATTCAGTTCCTCATGTTGTGGCGACCTTCAGCCGAAAAATTATTTTTGTTGCTTCTTTATGACTTCAATGAATATATGTTCTGCAATGGTCTTCGGAGACCCCTGCGGTGGTAGGGACATTTGACCCAAAGAAGGGTCACGACACAGAGGTTGAGAACCGCTGCTACAGAAGAACATGAGAGATGTGTGGACAACTGGGAGTTAGTGTATAGAATTTCACAATTATCTATTGGGACAGCTTGATCTGCTTGTTGTGTGGAGAAGACCTCAACCATGACAAGATGCAGTGATTCAGTTTCACTTGTAAAAACATTCACCCTGTCGTGTGATTCTGGTGAGTGTTGTAGGAATGAGTGAGAGTCTGTCTCTGATTCAGCCTCCTCTGTCTTGTCCATGTCCATCACTGAGATCAGGACGCCATCCAAGAGATGCACACAGCCAGACACAGCTTGTCCACGGGCACTGCAAGGAAACAACTATTTTATTTATAGTGATATCTCTCTCTCAGACAGACAGACATACATTCATGCACACACACACACAAACACTATATTATTTGCATTTATGTATAAGTGACAATTCTGTGTGTGGGCTCAGAGGCCTCATTGTGGAAGGACAATGACTAGAGGCCCTAACCTGCATGCTGTCAAAAGTGACTAATCAAGAGTTTGCTGAAATCTGATGAAGGTGCAGATATCACGGTCTAGCTATCAACCACAACACAGATTGCCAAGGAGAAATGCAAAAAAGATGTTACAATTGACTGACTGACTCTCGTACAGTCAGTGTGGGATCTTGTACAGTCAGTGTGGGATCTTGTACAGTCAGTGTGGGATCTTGTACAGTCAGTGTGGGATCTTGTACAGTCAGTGTGGGATCTTGTACAGTCAGTGTGGGATTTTGTAGTTAGGGCGCGGGGGATTGGAGGGGGCGTGGGATTGGAGGGGGGAGTTCCTCTGATGAGGGTAGAAAACAAAGGGTCTGTGGGGTTACTGGACCCACATGTATGTTAACACAAAATGACATTCATGCGGCCAATTCAATTACCATATATCTTACAGTATATGTGGCCTGTGGGAAGTCTGACAACAAACGTGTTCTGGACCAAAACAAGTCTAGAAGTAGATGAACAACCTGAACTTTCTAGTTGAGTTTACATCCGGTGAGTTCCAAAAAGATGAGGAGTTCTTGGTTCAAGCTGTGGCTAGCTGTAACGGTTCAGATAGTCAGCAACAACAGTTATCGACCAGTTCCCTAAGTTGTAGACCAGAAGGGTTCAAGGATATAGCAGTATCACCAGTAGCATTATAACCATCACATTATAAGTGCACCCATGACTCCACACACATACGCAACATCCTCGAGAACCTCTTTTATTAAGAAGGTAAATGCCAAGCTCACTGTCCTCAAACTCCCTCCCATAATACCAAATGTTCCACTGAAACCTTACAACGACTGCCCCCTTGGCTTAGGGAAAGCCTGCCAACAGTCAGAACCACTTAACAGGGATCTCCTCTAGATCAACAATGAGCAGCACTGATATGAAATCAACTACAGAAGGAGAGATGACCAGACTTTATCCATGCCAGAGTTGGATTCAGCCAAGAGAGCAGTAAGAGACGGAGGGGGAGAAATATACATAGAATGCAGAAATAGTTTAAAAATCAACCAAGCTGTACCAACAGGTTCATATTACTCCAATTACAGAGCAGAGGCAGAAGCACCTCTCGCAGCATGTTCTTTCCTGAGTGGACACCAGCACAGCAAATTTTGCAGAGTGGTCTTTCTGACTGATGCTATGTCAGTTCTACAAGCAATTTTTAACCCAAAAGACACTTAGTTTGTAGACTTGATGCAACAGCTGATTCACTTAGGCTCTTCAGTAGAACAATCTGTACTGCAGTGGATTACAGCCCGTGCCGCTACTGTTTCAAGCCGCAAGATTTTAAGGAGTGCCCATTTGGCCAAGATGGACACTGACTTTAGAAAACCCAACGCCAGCCAGAGGTGCTCCAACTGCTCAGGAGCACACAGCGCGAGATACATGGGTTGCCCGTATCTAAAGGAGTGCAGGAGAGCTCTGATGACTACCACCACCAGCAGAGTAACCACTCGCCCAGCAGCAAAAAGGAGATACGAGGCACCTAGCACAACCAGAAGACAAGAAGAAGCCAGACTCGTCGCCACCACTGAAATAGCAAAACTTCGGAACGAGCTAGTATTGATGAAAACCGAGATCGAGGCCCTCAAGTAAGAAAAAGCAGCGACTGACCGTAAAGGAGCTGAAGAAAGAGATGAGATGACAACCCTCCGAGGCATCCTGCAAGAATTATTAGAAAACCAGAAACGACTGAAAGTGGAGGTAACTGACCTAACACACTTCAAGACAAGCTCAATGGCGCTGCTAACTGAAACCAAGATGCAGAAGAAACAAAACGCAGTAGAGGAGACCAGACGCATAGAACAGCACAACTCAATCACCTCACTCTTATCAGAAGTCGACTCAATCAAGAAAACGCAGAAATCCACAGAAGAAAAATTAGCCAAAACCAATGAGGACAATGCACAACTATGGATGGATTTGCTAGCAACCAACAAAGTGATGGAAACAAGAGAGAAGCAAGAAAGGAAGAAGCAAGACAACAAGTCCAGTCAAGCAAAACAACAGAGAGCCAAGACAACAAGTCCAGTCAAGCAAAACAACGGAGAGCCAAGACAACAAGTCCAGTCAAGCAAAACAACGGAGAGCCAAGACAACAAGTCCAGTCAAGCAAAACAACAGAGAGCCAAGACAACAAGTCCAGTCAAGCAAAACAACGGAGAGCCAAGACGATAACAATCTAAAGCTAGAGGATATCAAGGAAGGAATGAACAACAATTTTGGAGTAATGTTCAAAGAAGTCAGATATCTCAAGGAAGCTACCCGTCAACTACAACTAGACAGCATCAGGAACAACAAAGAGAAAATAGCTACCCACCCACAAGGAAATGGAGCCCATGGAGCGAAGTAATCAGACACGCGCGACAACCCACAAACAACATGAAACAAGAGAACCAATGAAAATTCACCCAGGCCGCCATGACAGCTGAACAAGCCAGCCCACCAGCCCGGAAAAACCTCACAGCTCGCCAACTGACAGACATGATATCTACCGCCAAATTGACTCCCACCTTACCCGATCCAGGCCGCCCCAGGCTATGGTCTGCCCTTATTAGGGCGGACCGAGATCCCCCTCTACTCACATGAATCATCCTTACAAGAAAACCTCAGACGTATTGAAATGCCGCAAATCAAAGGAAAAATAATTGGAAGCGAATTCCAAACTACACACAGTCTTCGATATAACCACTGCTCAAACTAGGAGCCGGTTGAAAGAAGCACGAATGTTTTTTTTTTTTTATCAACACCAAGACCAAGACCACACATACGCAACATCCTTGAGTGAATGTAAAACGGGATCCTCTTGGATGAACCGCATACTGACTACATCTTCTCTCCTTGTACATACAACTGGGCTGTTGATCAGTAGGATCAAACATGTCTGCTCCACATCTGACCCACTTCAATGTTAACATGAATAAATCATTTCATGCTAGTAATTTTGTTGCATAAAGTACACATTTCATTTCTACAAAGAATCAACATATTAATTTTTATGTTTTATAACGTGACCTGATTTAAAACATTTTAAAGATTGTTTTCCCATACATCTATAGTTTGCCATTTGTTTTCCCATACATCTATGGTATACCATTTCTGTTCCTATACATCTATGGTATGCAATTGGCTTTCCCATTCATCTATGGTATGCCTTTTGTCTTACCATACATCTGTGGTATGCCATTTGTTTTCCCATACATCTATGGTATGCCTTTTGTCTTCTCATACATCTGTGGTAAGCCATTTGTTTTCCCATACATTTGTGGTAAGCCATTTGTTTTCCCATACATTTATGGTATGCCTTTTGTCTTCCCATACATCTATGGTATGCCTTTTGTCTTGCCATACATCTGTGGTATGCCATTTGTTTTCTCACACATCTATGATAAGCCATTTGTTTTCCCATACATCTAGGCTATGCCATTCTTGCTTATCACAGACACATCTCTTGCAACTTCCTCCAATTAATTTACCCTTGAGTCCCAGGCACCTAGTTTAGCCCCTCATCTGCGCCGCGCGTAGCGGGGGATACGCTGGGCGGTGAGTTTAATCGCGTTTGCGCATGCTATTATCGTCTGCAGAAATGCTCAAAATTGTCAACGGTCGCTATTATCGTCTGCAATGTTGCGTCTCTTGAAATTGTCAAGTAATCCTAGTTTTGCTGCGATTTGTTCCTTGGCAGAAAGTCGGCATTTTACATATGCCTGAGCCCCATAAGGATATTTTAAGGGGCTCTCCTTTAAATAACGGTCCCAAATGATCTATGCAGAAAGTTAACCCAAACAGAGCCTCACTCATATCTAAAATTCGCATTTCTTTTCCGGCGAATCTACGGCGTCAAAAGTAGGATTAATTGCGCACGACATTTTCGCGAAATGCAACAGACTTTTTTACGACGATTAAAGGGCGGCAAAACTAGGATTAACTACGGACGAAAAATTAGCGACACGCAAGAATACTCCCGATAGTGCGCAATCCTATGGCAGGGCCACAGTTATATGTAAGTTGCGGACCACTCTTCGCAGACTATAGTTTCACCTCCGAGAGTATCCCTCGAGCCGCTACGCGCGGAAGGGGCTAAACTAGATGGCTGGGACTCACGAGCAGCAGCTACCACTTCTCCTGCAGCTTCCTCCATTGTTTTTGCTCGAGGCACATTAATCCTATACTCTACTATAACTACTACTACTAGTATTATTACTACTATTAGTATTACTACTACTTTTAGTATTCACTATTACTATTACTATTAGTATTACTACTTCTATTACTACACAAACTGAACAGACAGCAACAATAACAGTCACATCAGATAATCATAAATCAACAACAATCCCGTACCTACCGCTAACACACATTCAACAATGTTACGGAGACAGCAGAACTAATCCCAGCAATGCTTCAGTTACTGATGGACCTATCTGAACACTATTTCAGACTCAAGTGGGCCCTCCCACAGGCACAATTCTAGAGACAAAGAATGACAGACACAACTAAACAAACTCCGACCAGGTCTAACCTGATTTCCTCCCTGACTTCTGCACCTCCCGCAGGCCGGAAGTGGGCCGCGGTTTCCGTAGAGACTGGAAGCTAAACTTCAATTGATCATTTCTTTCAATTATTAATCAGCTGTTCATTTAACAAGTTTTAGTACACCAGTGCTTAAATACCAATTGTTGATATTTTATCATCAGCATTATCATCATCAGTTCTCGTTATGCCTAGTGGCACATGAGGCTT